ACAATACAATCATCTTTTGTTATAATGAATTCATTAAATTTGTCAATGTGTCACTTTCTTTTGTCACAATTCTTGTTAATGTTTGAATATGAACAAACTTTTTCCTTCCAACAATTCTTATTAGATTAGTAAATTTATTTGCACAAATAAAAATTATGAATGTAAATGTATGGATTACATTAAAAATTACAAATAGATTATAAATTTTATAAACTTTTTTTTTTTTTTAGTAATATTAACAAATTATAACGAAGTATTTAGCAAAAATTATTATTCTTCTTTTTTTTTTTTTTTTTTTGAGCGACCAATTATTAATGCTTATGCAAAAAGTAATGTTATTTGAAAAAATTAAACTTTTATTGAAAAAATTGCAAATGAAAAAAATCGATTTTTAAATTTATCGATTTCTTTATTTTTTTTTCTTCTTTTTTTTTTTTAAATAATTCATAACGTATTCCTATTGTGGAAGAAAAAAAAAGAAAAACAGCTAGAATTCGGGACAAAATATTTTCACTTCGGTGACAAACCGTTATTTTCTCGTAGACTTATGCCCTGAATTGGCTCCATTTAAATGACATGACCCGATGACCTCAGGCGGCGGCGGCGGCGGATTCGGAATTTCGTGTTGCAATATGGGGGGGGAAGGGGAAGAGGGAAGATGATAGTTTTCGCTTTCTGTTTTATTTCATTTTTCGCGCTTATATTTCTTTTGTATCGTTGCTGTATGATGAAATCATCACTTTCATTATGCCAATTCCAAATTTATTTTCTGATTAATTCCAAGTGCACTAAATATTTTCTCGCAGTATAAATATTCCAAAAATAAAAGTCTGCATATATTTAGTTTCAAATAACGGAACAAAAATCTATGATTAATTTTAGTTCAATAAATTTGTTTATTTTCTATTCATTGTGAGATTTTTATTTATTTTCGAGTTTAATTAAATTCATTTCATTGCTAGCTTCAACTCGTTAACAAAATTATTTTCTCTTGTATGAAATGTTATCATTTTATTTGCTCCATTTGATGTACATCATTTGTTTACAAATTGTTCATTCTACCTATTCTATTCATTATATTGTTATTTACTTAACACCTCATCTCTCTGTTTACCTGTTGATTCCTTTACAAGGTCGGGAAATTTGGTGTTCGTTCGGTTCATGTTGATATGAGCATATACTGGTGGCAAGTTCATTTAAGCGCAAATAATTGATGTATTTTTTGTAATCAGCTTAACATGAAAACCAGCCATTCGATAGAATTAATTTTCTCTTCCTCTTATCTCTTTGCTTATCTGGCTGTTATTCTTCCATTATTTGCTCGGCTCTTATTCTCCCCCGCCCTCCGCTCCACCCCATATTTGTTTCGATAATATTTCTGTCTTTATCTTTGCCTGGCTCATATTTTTTCTCTTCATACCTTCCACCACTACATTCATATACTTTTAGCATTGTGTTGAGAAGATAGTCCGAAATCCTTTACTACCTTGTTTTTTTTTCCCCCCACAAAATTCATTATAATGCTCTACTTTTTCTAAATTTTCGAAATAGCAATCCAATTTGTTTAATCTAATCCTTTTTGATATTATTTGCCTCCCACTATTTTCTCTCTCTCACTGTTATCCGACATTCATACTTGTAAATTCTTCATGTTAGAATTAGCTAGGGAGTGCTTTTATCTCCTTCAGTTTAATTGATCATTTGTTTAATTAGTTAAGTGTTGAAGTATATTTAGACCTTTAGATATGAAATTCAAAACTAAATTGTTTAAGATAATATTATTGAAAGCGTACAGTTAGTTGCGTAGCTTATACATGTGGCATGTGGTAAATACCTAATATATATTAATTGTGAAGTATTTGCAATACATTTTAAATACAGAGAGATGACTTAGTTGTTGGTACTTACTTGATATGATGTTAAAGTGTTTTGTAAACATAGAATTAATTGGATGCAAGCAAGGTAAATGCACTAAAAGATTGTGCGGAACAGAAAGAGGGGATATTATCAGTACATAGGAAATGATAAGGGAGAAAAAAGACAAAAAGCAAAAAAAAGCATTTTCCAATTTATTTTATTATTGTTAATGAAAAATTTCATTTTTTTCTCTTCTTTTTTGAAAATATTTTTAATTCATACATGCACAATTCGTCTCTATGCATCGATATGCGTTAAATGTCGATTGTAATGAATGCGCATCACTTATTCCAGTCAAAGCCATCGTTTTTTCTTTTTTTTTTTTTTGTTTCCGTTATCCTGTTTTTCGTTTAATTTCAGATGAACTACGGATGAAACCGCTTAATAAATATTTCTCTGATGCTATCAGCCTATTTCCAAGTTTAGAAGTGCACAAATTTTTTCAAATTCATGGTATGGTATGAATTTAAGTGACATTTTGTGATAAATCAAAAGCAAAAGTTCATGTAAAATTTAAAAGTTTAAAAGTGGAGGAGGAAGATTAGTGTAGATAAAGAGGTTACATATTAGTAACTTCATTATCTTAATATGGTTTTCCGTTGTCTTTACTGTACATTCGGCTTGTGAGTATACATTTGAAAGTCATGGAAAATTATGAACGTAAGACTCGATATTTTGATTCTTATTAGGAATCTCGAATAGGAAGAGCGAGACCTTGTTTCAGTCGAAACAGAAGAGGTGGAGGGAAGACTATCTGTTGAAGTATAATGATGAATTTAATTGAGACGGTCTTGAATCAAAATTAAGATTGAAATTAGACATCATCATTAACTACAGTTATTGTAGCTGTAAAGGTTGTTGGGATATTATTCAGCCAAGGAGGACGAAGGGAGTGGTTGAAAAAAAGTTGCGAAAGGATAAGGTAGAAATAAAAGAAGGAATTATTAGTGTCATTGATATAAATGATTATATCGTTCACACAGACTGACAAATTTTTTTCAAGAACATGAATTAAAATTTAAGGTCGGCGGAGTAGTTTTCTTTTGTGTTTAAATCTTTCAATTTGTTAGCTTCCATCCGTACAAGTTGTCATGGATATGAAGTAACAATTAATTTGCAGGACTCTGCAAAAACAGTCCAATCGGTAAACCAGTTATTGAATTACGAATCTCATCGGAAGTGCCTTTCGATCTCTTGCCTTCATTGATTTTTTCAACTTATTCCCTTTATACCAGGTTTATTTTCTTATAGAAAAGTGCAAACTAAGTGAAAAATTTGAATTTGACCATTTAATGAAGGATTATTACTTTGAACGACTGCAAAAGATTATTACTTTACGCGAATTTCAATTTGTACCAGAATATTTGCAAAAATTCGTAGATCATCGACCTAATAACCATCAACTTTTTATTTTTCAAACTATTTGTATTTTTTTTGTGGTAATATAGTGGAAAATGTGAATTACAATAATTTACACATTCATAAGTTTTTTCCAGATGTTCGGATAAAAAGCATACGTTGTATATAATCATCGATGTTCGTAATTGCTCCGAGGAATGCCTTCACACTTTTCTTCAAACACTGCGACAATCAGCAGTATGTTTCTATTGAAATTAATTCATTTCGATCTGTAATATTTTGGACTATGGGTAATTAAATTTTTAGAGATTTGTATTAGTTTTACACTTCACTGAAAGTTGAAAGGGAAGGTGATAGCCTAGTTCCTGACCGATTTTTTAGTACGCAGTGTACATTTCATAGTTTTAGTGGAAAAGGAATATAATTGTTGGGCTTCAAGTAATTGGAATTGCTGAATTGATATAAATATACTTTTTCTTAGTCATGGCTCGAGGGTACGATTGATTGCATATTATGGGTTATCGGGTCCTCTTTGCGCAATATTGAAACTATCATCAATGAAGATCTCATTTTATCACGAGCTAAAGTAAGCTTTGCAAGCTTTTCTTAAGATCCTATAAGTTTTTGTCTCTGTGTGCATCGCTTCCAATAGCTAATTTACCTGTGGAATTGACCTAATATCTAATCTATAAATAGTACAAATCGCTCTAAAAATTGAAACTGTGAAAGATCAATTTTAAATTCTAGAATATCGTGGCCGATATTGAGGGTATTACAAAATATATTGAAGCGGGCAGTTTTTCGACATATTTAAATGGCTTAATCGACCCAGAGATTACACGGCATTTTCTCCGCATGCGATTGGTTAGTTTTCGTTGTTTGTTCCAGTGGCCGTCTGTGCGAGGCAAAATATAGAATCATGAGAAAAAAGTAATAAAAAATATTGTCATTGAGTCACTTACTATGACTACTGATGGCGTGATAATATGCCGAGCGTATATCTTATAGAAATATATATATCTATAAAAGAATATATATAGTATATATTTAAAAAACATCTAAAAATATATATCTATACTTCTAGAACAAAATGCTAGCTATTAGCTGTTTAATGCCAGTTATTAGCTGTTTCGTTCGAGTCATCGACCGTGTAAGGCTAGTTGAAAATTGGAAATACGAAAATTCAGTTTACACTGAAGCTTTTCCTTGCCTTTTCTTTCTTTTTTTTATTACCAGCAGTCACCCTCTCAACTTCATAATATTTATATTCAAATGTTTGATATCAGCGCAGAAAATTATTTGTGTTACATTTATTACAATTCGCTATATATACTATATATGGATCTTATTCGCTTACATATTTATTCAGCAGTGAGTTCTATTGCAGTGTGTGGAAGATTTGTTGAAAAAAACACACAAAGCAGCAAAACTTTTCATGAACTTACATGAATATCTAAAGCAGTTTGCAATACCGCAAGATCTCACAATGGTCAGTACTGATTTATTGCGACGACAATCTGAAGAGTATGTTTTTTTCTTTTTTTTTCACACAAATTTTGTTGTTATCACACTGTTTTATTGTTTTGTTGAGTTTTATTAAGATTACAGATGTTTAGAGCACTAATTCCGATGTTTTTTGAAAAAGCTAACACAGTTCAGGAAATATCAATTTCTTGCGTTTTTTTTTTTCGGTAAACTAATTCTTTTTATTATCATTTTATGAATCGTTATGGGAGATAATTTTCTCTTTTTTTGTTTAGAAACAGAAAACTGATAGAAGTTCGTAAAATAGCATTAAATTTGAAAACTTCAGGAACTAAGAAATTTGAAATGAAGTCAACGATTAAAATCACTTTTTATACTCAATTGCAAGTGAAAAATTAAGTCAATTTAAATAATTTAAGTAGCTCGTGCACTTCTTTTGATCAATCATTTGAATGAATCATTTATATTGGTATTGTATTCTGTATATCCTCTTTATAATGTTATTTACGGCTTATCCTAACGTTTTTATTACTCGTTATATGTATCTAATGGTCCAGGATATCGTTTTCTAACGTAAAATGATGAGTGAGTTTCTTAGAAAAGGGAAAGGTAGAATGTTGGGCAGTGCTTTTACCATTTCAAAGAATGGAGCATGTAAAAAAGAATTCGTTGATGTGGCCGTCGAATTAAGCATTATTGTTGTTGCAGCCTTTTGCGAGAACTGTTAGTTTACATCAAACAACCGTATTGCATTTTCATATTGAACTGAGGCTTTTTTGATTGACAAAACTAATCTGTTTGTTTGCTATGCTAATCGTTTGCTTCTACACCTTTGCAGATTAAACAGTCGATGGAATGCTGTGAAAAATGAACCAGATGTGGTATTTTTGTTGCATCGCGGAGAAGTACTGTGCGAAGAGCTGAAAACACAATATTGCGATCTTCACCATCTTGATTCTTACCTCTTCGCGTATGTTTCGTTTTATGCTTCAAAAACTCGTAGTTTTTTTTTTGTGTGTGTGTGAATTTGTTGAGAATTTTTGTTGCAAATGCATCTTTGATTATAACTTTTGAACATAGATCATAGTCACTGTTTTACAACCTATTTTGCTTTCGATCCATGATCTCTTTTACTTCAGAATGTTAGTTTTCATTGTCTCTTTTTTTATTTAGCTGGTCATATAATCTTAGAATTTAGATTCAGAAATGCACGTGCTTTATCTTTCTGCTTTGTAGATATCCACGGATTTATACAGGTCTTCTCTTTCTGTGCTTAGCTTATCTATTTTAGTCATGGGAATTAGTGCTTTTTTAATGGACCTTGTAGTATTTCTGTTTCACCTTAACCATCTGTTAAACTCATGAGTTTGATCAGAACAGTCATGTCGCGTACGTAGCTGGAAGCCCCGAATTAATGTCTGCAAGTTACTCTTTAAGCAATTGTAATGATGTAACATTATTATTAAAAGATCTGATGAATGCTTTTGGTAGCTATTTAATGATGACAATATAAAGCCAGCTAATTTAAAGTAAGTTATATCTGTTTTGTTTTATCTGTTTTTGTTTTTGCTTAAAGTAGGTATTTTTCATTTTGTCTGTTTAAAGTAGCTGGCCTATTCACTGTTGCTTTTTCTGCATGTTTTTTCGTTAACTTTTAAATGAAGTTCCCTTTTCTTAACGTTCCTCTTAAGAGAAGAAATCGGATATCGCTAGAACAAATGCGTTGCTATCCTTAGGTTTATTCGAAATTATTCTGAATTCATGACTAACAGCATGTGCTTCATTTTTTGTCTAATCAATCTCACCAGATGTTTTAGGACCTTACTAGTAGAACGTTAACTAGAACTGAATATCAGTGAAGTATGTCTCTTTTCTCAGCATTCTTGATTACGTAATCATATAACCATATAAAATTGTGATGCTTACTTTTAGTGCTCTTTTTTTACAGTGATTCCGTAAACCGTTCAGTATCAGGCTTCGAAGAAGTTAAAGTAGTCATGCAGAGAAGTAGTTCAAGCATATCGAAACGGTTGTATGCTCTTCAATGTTCAGTAGAAGCGGTCGAATTTTTGAAATATGTTCCAGAGGTTTGGTTTTTCGCTGGGTTTCATGCTCTGGCCTGGATTAAGTACTCTTTTTCAGGTTTCTGTAAATCGTATTTTACGCAGTTATTTTAAAGTTTTGTAAAAAAAGTTTTGTAAAAATTTTAAAGTTTTGTAAATAAAAAACTCATAACTTCTTTTTTTAAAAAAAAGTGATTTCTTTGTAGGTGATGGATTTTATCAATAATGAAATGAATGATTTGGAACAGCTGAAAATAATCAGGATATTCAGTGTTGTAAGGCTGACTTCCCAGGTTGGTTTTAATCATGTTCGAAAATTTGAGTATAATTTCAATTTTGCATTTCTTAGTTGTTTCTTAGAAAAATTGAGTTCTTCCTCGTGTTGTTTGTATTTTTCCATTTTAGATTAAGCAAGTGGACAACAAAACCACAGAACTGACAAAATACCTGGATGAGGCTGATAGCCGTCTGAAGAAAGCAGTACATTTGCCAGAAGAAGGCTCATTTGGAAATGAAGATCGGAAAAGAATCACTGATACGTTTGATTCGTTCAGCTCCTTCCTAGCATCTTGCAAACAACGTGTTATGGAAGTACGACCTGTTGTTCAATCTGCGCTTGATTCCCGTATTCACATTGATCAGGTATTTATTTTCACTTTTGTTATTCCGTTTATCATTTTTTAGAAATGCTGTTTGATTTCTATTCGCATTTAGTCTTTTGAAGTTTAATTGGGTTGGGTTTTAGTTCAATTTATTCTCTTCATTTCCTGACATATGAGGAGTTAGAATCTTTCAGTACTAAGATGATATTACTGATAAATTCAGGTATATAATTGGGCTTTGCTTCACGCTAAAAGAAGTGATGATGAAAAGGAGAAGGAAATGTTAATTTCGAAATATCCATTCATTGCTATTGCTCGTCTTCACGAGTATGTTGCTGTTAGTTCGACTGACTGCGTAGTAGGTTTTGATCGTAGATCACCAATTATTCAAGTTTTCAAATTTCAAATGAAGTTATATTTTTGTTAAAGTTTTATGTTGTTACCTATTTTCCGTGGTGCAATCGGATAATAAACGAAATGAATCTTTGATGCTTGAATTTGTTCAAGTATTTGTATTTCATAGTTGAGCAGAAACTATCCAAATCAAGCATCTGATGAAGCTTGTTTACGTCATTTAACGTTAATGTTTTCTTTTTTTTATAAATAAAAAAGAAGTATTGATTTTATTACAAGGTTCGACAGGAAATCGAAAAATTACTTTCGGACTGTGAAAAAGCCATCATGAGTTTGGATCCTTCACTCAAGATTTCCGATCTACGTTGCCAGATGAGCGCTAGCTCAAGTCAAGAAAGTGCCGATGGTACTGCGAGTCAAGAAGTTGGCGCTGTTGATTCATGCTTTAGTGGAGAGGCTGACTGCTCCATCATTGATTTGTCTTTACCAAAAAGTCGCTGCTCTGATTTATCGGATTCAGTATCCGATACACCAATGGAGGTATATTCGGATGTGGAGGAAAGTTTTACTGTAGATTTGCGGAATGATTTGGATACAACTGAACATTCTCGGCATCAGACAAGCCCAGCACCAACACAGTATGAAATTCCAATTTCAAAAGCAACTATTTCTACGGAACATCAACAGCCGGTTGTTCTTTTACGTCTTTTTCTTTTTTTTTTTTTTTTTGTTTTGTATATATTTTCTCATTTCGCATCTTTGACTATTTGTTAGATGCTCAATTAGATGCTCATTCAGGATATTCCTTCCCTATTCATTTTTTTTTTTTTGCTGTTACCTAGGAAAAAAAAGCAATCTTGCGTATTGATGCATGGATTGAGCGTGCATAAAAGGTTAAAAATTGTATTTTGATATTTGAGACTGCAAAATAGCCTATTTTTTTGATACAAAAATAGGTACAGACACACTTATTTTCGGCATTTGTCTGTTTGAGCATCTAATTTGAAAGATAGATTTTTTTAATATTTGTTCTTATATTTTAGGTTTTTAATATTTGTTCTTATATTTTAGGGACTAACGGAGCTGGAAGAAGTTCGATGGCGTCGCAATTCATGGGCACCATCTGCACATACCGGTCCATTGGAAATCATCGAGGAATCTGCAATCGGAGCTGCACCCGTTACTCTTAATATGACGAATAAAGTAAGCTTTATTTTTTGCTACTTCAATCTAGATATAGAAAGCGACTGGAGCCCAATTTATCTATTTTGAAAGGTTGCGTATAGAGATGTATTACTTATCATACTTATGAAGAGCAGTGTTCCACTACTTGGTGAATTTACAAGACTTTAAATATTATCTCGAGCTTATTATCTTATAACAGCGAAAGTTTCACGTACTTTTAGTAGTTTTGTTTTTATACTTTTTTAGGTGATTGCATCAATGTCGACAAACACCTTACATAAAAGGTTGGACCAGCGTCGTTCCGTCAGCACTGTTCCATTACGTCTGCCAAATCCATTCCTGATAAACGGAGCTGCCCGACCCGGATCAGCGCGATTTGTTGTATCCCAGAAATCACGACGTCCACTGATGAGAACCTCTAGTAGTGATTTTTTGGAGGAGGTAATGCTGAATTTTGGAAAAACTTCGAAATTCCTCCGTGAGATGTTTATAATTATGTGAATTTATTTTATAGGACTGTCGGTCAGCTTTAAGTGCTTTCCAGTTTCTAGATGATGATTTTTGCAGTGTAAGCGAATCACCTCAACCAGCTACCGCATCAGGTTTCGTACTTCTGTTTTTGATTTAATTTGCTCATTTGAGGGCGATAATTCAATTAAAATGCGTAGTTATTGCTACGGTTCATTAGATCTTTCATTGGATTATCCACACATTTCAGCGAATAAATAATGTTCCGTGACGTACTAAATTTCTCATTTTTCCAGCATTCTCAGCTCTGGATTTCTCTATGCGTTCCGAGCAAATAGATATGATTCGAGATTGGCTAAGTCCGGCGAAAACAAGTGATGCGAATTTCAGAATTGAGTGCACTGTTGTACGAGATTTGTTAGATTCGGAAATCGATTATGTCAGTGCTTTAAGACTTGTGGTTCAGGTACGTTTCCCCGCTTCATTTATTCCTGATTTATACAGACAAAATGTTCTGTCTTGTTTAGACGTTTTAGATAGCTTTGTCAGATGAATTTTGAACTTTCTTCATCAGCAAAGATTAAAAAATTCGGAATCATCGAGTTATTTTTTGCAGACGTTATTAGTATTAGGAATTTGTGCTTCATTTATAGTTCAAAATTTGTTCAATATTAATGTCAATTTTGAACATTGGTGAACGATTGTTGCAATGTCTATTGTTATTCTGGAAGGCTATCAAGATTACAAATTGTTTCCATATATCTTCCAGGATTTTATGCCTGAAATGGTTCGAGTTGATATCCCAAGTGCACTTCGTGGCAAGAAATCATGTATTTTTGGAAATATCGAAAAGCTTTTCCAGTTTCATGCCCATTCATTTTTGCCTCAGCTTATTTCACGGTTGAGGTAAATTAATTTAACTCATAGTTTTCAATATTCCTTTGCGTAAATGTTGGTATGTTTTCAGTGATATAATAATATTTCAAAACCTTACCAAATATTCAAATATCCAATATTCAAATGTCTTTTGTCTCTAGGTTTCGTTGTGCGGATGAATCAGTTTCAATGACAATTGGACGATTGTTTCTGGACAATCTCAACTATTTTGAATTGTATTCATTGTACGCAAAAAATAAACCCAAATCTGATCAATTAATGCGTGAAGCTGGACATAAGTTTTTTAGTTCTGTGCAGGTTGGTAGAATGATTTTTTTTGTTCATGGTATAGTGTATCTTTCGTCGGTTTTTGAATCCATATTAATTTATTTTTCCAATTAAATTAAGGACACATCCAGTTTTTTAACTCTTCGAAGTATTCCTCTTACATGCTTTTTTCTTTTTTTATTTCAATGGAACTTTCCAGAGTATGGCTGACTTATCACATTTATTGATTAAACCGATTGAAAGGATAGGTAAATATGCGCTTGCACTTCAGCAACTTCTCAATGCTGCACCGCCAAACAAACTGGTTGGCCATCATTATCTCCTTGACAAACTATGACATTGTGAAAGCCTTTGTTGTAATTCTAAAGTAAAACTTCGTCCATCTTCTTCCGCATTTTACTGTTTGTAATTTTCGTTGTTTAGATATTCAAAATTTAAATTTAGTTTCACAATCATTTCTCATTGTGAAGTCTTGATTCCAGGAAGTTTTGGAAGTGTTGGAAAAAGTGGCTATGATAGTTGGACAGCAAATTCGCCGTGGTAGTGATCTGTTAGCAATGGAGCGAATAAGTAGTTGCGATTTGAATCTTAAAGAGCAAGGAAGTTTGTTACGGCATGATACGATGTATGTTACTGAAAAACGTGGCTTACAATCTAAGAAACGTGTGCGAAGTGTGTTCCTGTTCGAGAATTGCGTTGTCCTTACAAAGCCGAAATTATCACGGTCATGGAGAGGAAGCACATTTGACGAGCTGAAATATAAAGGCAGTATACAGGTGTTCTAATTTGATCAATATATTTTTTCTTCTTTTTTTTGTTACCTGCTGAATCGATAATCTCTGCCTCATAATTCCTAGATCCCAATTTGACTCCGTTGTTCAATTTCTTTGTAGATTCATAATATTTTAATTAAAGGATAATGGGATTAAGTGTTTGATAGTTGAAATCATATAATTTATTGTTTTGAAATCATGTAATTTATTATTTTTTTAATTTGTAGCTAATGTTAATGAAAATAAAAAAGTGTATTTAAAAAACAATTGAAAGAATGAAGCTCAAAGTCGATATGTGTTTAGAAACTAAACTGAGTGAAGTTGGTTAAGAATCTTCGTTATTCTTTGGCCTTCATTGCCAAATTTTAAATGATGAACTCATTGAACGGTCAATGTCTTTTACAGTTTTTATTAATTTTGTCTTGTGTTTTCTCAAGTTTCAGGGAGGGAGTGATTGAAATCAATTATCAGCTTTATTTCTGCAGAAATTTAATGAAATGAAAGTACTTCATTTTCAGATGACTGATTGCGGCTTGACGGAAATGGTAAAAGACTCGAAAGTTAAATTTGAATTATGGTTTCGAAAGCAGAAAAACTCGTTTACATATGTAATGGAGGTAAAACTTTGGCAATTTTTAGGATTTATTTTTCCAAATTCATGTTATTTTCTTATAGGTCTATTTTCATAGTGTTGGATTATTCTACTGAAAAAATTTTTAGTTTTTCACGAATATTTTTTTTAAATAGCATAGAATGCAGTTGCTGGATTTCATGTATTCTAGACACATACAGCAAGCATTCGTGATGCTTGGGTTGAAGACATCCGTAACATCCTTTGGGATCAAGCCATTCGAAGTCGTGAGAAGAATATCCGCGAAAAAAGCAAATATGGGCCTTGAGTTGTATTCCTCATATATTCATTTAGGACCACGTGCTACGGTAAGTAATACACATTGTTGTAGATGCAGAGGGTGGGGAATATGATGAGATGATTGAGGTGTATCTGATTTTGGACCGATTAATCTAAAATCTGAAGGTACTCAAAAACCAAACTGTTCGATAATAACAATTCATAACAAATGACGGTATATCACTGGTTATTAAACTGTGCAAGTTTAATATGCTCTACAAGATTCAGGATATTTCAAACTTTCTTATTTTCCTATTACAGCTTAGTGGGTTGCGTGACTTTGGTTTTGTGGAAGGTACTCGACGACCATGCTCACTGATATCATTAACAGCTTCATCATGCTCAAGCTCGAATAATTTAGGACGAGTGCAAGGTGGCATTCATTTATACATTGCCAGAAATTTTATTTATGTTAGATGGAAGTAGACTAAAAGTAGATTGTGCATTCTGCCCGTAGATCGCTTTCTTAATTTTCAGAACTTGTTGAGGGGGACACTTAGGTTAAATTCTACGGCATTCATAATCCCATCTCTATATAGAGGAAGAAA